CGCAGTCAACCATATACCAATTTCAGATTAAATGAAGTTAATATTCTGTCTGGGGTTCACTGATCTAATTTACTGGTTGAAAAGTTACATGGACCCTCGCCTTCCTAATTGCAGCTAACAGAAATGTAACTCCACCTGACCTAAGTTGTGACCTACTGAACAACAGAACCTACTGCTTTTTGTTTTATCTGTAGCCGTTGAGCGGCTGCTGGCGGGGCTAGAGAGTGTACCCCAAGGCACAATGGGATAGGCGAGTTCCCCAACCGATCTGTGTGCGCCAACCTACCAGTGTTAATATTCCCGAGCGAAACTATCATGACAATGAGCTTGTGGCGCAGTGGTTAGAGCGTTGAACTCCTAATAAACAGGTCGCTGGTTCGAGTCTCGGATGGTGCGCTACTCTGGATTGGGTATGCCTGGGCGATGACGGTTAATAAACCAAAAATGTCCATTTCAGTATCGCTTGCCTTTATTTCTTTAGATAATACTGACTGATGTCCGAAAGCTTAGTGAATATCACGCGCTTGTCTTGCTTTGACTGATAGACTTTGACCCAAATATTCATATCAAATTTTGGTCTTCACCTATGAACCTTGGTTCACATTCATGTTTGAAGCAATGAAAAAGCAGGGTTTTCAAACTAGAGCATCTACCAGGCAGCACACGAGGAATGCTGAGGGGCCCAATGATGAGCTGAACTCTACGTAGATGTGCCATACAGAGGCCGAATATGGGCAAAACACGTATATAGGCCTTCGGCTAGTACCTATGGTTATTGTTCTCCTCATTGTTCGAAAAATTAGGCGGCAACAAAAAAGATAAACTAGAATTACCCCATTCAAAACCTCAACTCAGAATTCTCAGGAATTCAATTTAACGTGGAAAAAGAGGTAAATAGCAAACTCCGATTCTTAGACGTTCTTGTACGCAGGAAGGCTAAAGGAATGCTCCATACGTCAACTTATCTTCAAGATGTATACTCCGAAGTCATCTTTCATTTTGAGAGTAAACATCGCATGTCTCAGAAAGGCAGTCCTATTATAAGCTTTCTAATTCGAGCGAAAACTCACTATTCCGATAAAGAAAAATTTCGAACAGCAACAAAATCCTTTTCCGATTGTTTTCTCATAGCAGATATCCTCCGAACTTTGTTCATCGATGCATGTGACAACAACGGTTCAGAAAAAATGTATTTTCAGAGCTACGACCACTAAAGTGCAAAAACCAACGGACTGGCGAACTCCCCCATATTTATCTGAGCTCGTTGAAAGACAACTAAGGAAACAGCAAATGCAAATTGTGCACAAGCCAAGAACTCCTTTGCGCCCTCAGCTTTTACACCCTAAGGCTAGGGTTGGCTATTTAACAGAAGAGTAATCGTCTACAAAATACCATGTACCAGCTGTTATACGGTCTGTTGTGGTCAAACCGGGTAATCCCTATTCACCCGTATAAATGAACATCAGGTAACGGTAAGGAGACGAGACCACCTACCCTGGGTTGCTATGCGCACACTGGACACAGGACAAATATTTGCATGGGAGAAAACCCACATCATTAGCACCTGCGCAACTAGGAAATGCCGCGAATTCCTGGAGACACTGCAATCAGACGAGGCATGCATTTCTAGGCATATCGATAGCGACGTTAATCACAAATTTCTACAGATCAATTGGAAACAAAAACACCCACTATCGACCGGATAATTAAATGCAGGTAACGCCTATTGGTTTAAACTCTGGCCAACCATCGAATCTTGCGTGATGCATCATTTAAAGTTAACGGTTGTTTGAGACACCTCTCACTTGCCTGGAGGAGCTGAAGGGACCAGTCTCGACAATTCACGTAATTAAGTTTATTCTGTTCCCAAGGACCTGTTCTGGTTTCAAATTATATAGCCTGGGATGCCGATATTTAAACAAAAAAGGCTTATATGAACAGAAAACTTTGCTTTTAACATTCCTAACAGTATGATAGCATTCCTAGCTTGTTACTGACACGTCCTTTGACCATAAGCTGCACACATAATCTATTGAAAAACGAGATCATTGGTTACTTACGTGTCCGGAACTAGAACTCTTGTCGCCTGGCCTGGGAACTGTCGATGTCTCCACAGCGTGTCCTTTCCTATGCAACTGAGGAGAGATGGCACGACCAGCATTAGTAAACTCGTGATGTGACCTTGAGGAACGCGACTCGCTACTGTCTGAATCTCTCCTTAGTAGTATTGATTCAGTTTCATCTGCCAAACCATTTTTCAGATTGACAGTATGATGAAGAGATGACCGGTGTCCATCCAGCGAAGTGCGACCATCGTGAGCGCAGTCGTTAGTTCTCCCGTATCTCTCATCACTCCTGAGCATGTCTGTGGACCCGTTATCGACAGCATCAACCGGTTGCTTTTTAGCCCTCTTCATTCTCAGGGGGACCTCGGGAGGCCGCTTTGTGTACAGAACCTCATCGCATTCTTCCAGTCCCTTTGATTTTGCATGTTCTTTAGCTGCCTGAGGGCTGGACGAGGGCCTTAAGAAGATATTTTGATCGGCCAGCCGCCGCGACGACTTGCTCTTTCCTTCTAGTTGCATTTCAACGTCAGAATCATCGTCCGGCGAATACGCAGGCAGTCGACGCTCTACGAGTTCCCGTCGATGTGAAACCAACGTATTACTATCCTTTCGAGCACCTGGCGTCTCAGGAGTCTTGGAGACAACGCTTTCTGCGTGACCGTTTGAGGCTCGGTTCGAGCGAACGGTTAAAACTACAGGTAATTCACCCTGCTGCTGCCGTTGCCGCTGCCGCTGCCGCTGGTGGTGATGTCGTCTATTCCGTTCCATTTCCGCCTGAACATCAATGTCGCTGAGATTTTCATCCTGAGCATTATCATCCAGCAAGATGGGCGAGTCTATTTGCAATTTAACCGGTTTGTAGTGCTGCTTGTGGCTGCGTACTAGGTGCGGTTTTTCGGAAGACTCTGGAGATTTGAAATTCGCGTTGGAAGTGTCGCCTTTTGAGTCCTGAGAACTGATTACTTGGGGACATTGGATCCTGATCACGGACAGAAAGGATTTCTTCCTCGGCTTCCTTTTACTCTGACGGCTAGAAGACCTATCAGATGCCACCCATTCACTACAACCAGAAAAGTAAAATACGGGGAGGGAATAGATAAGTCGTCTGAGGTGGTCATCAAAGCTAATGAAAACACACCAAAGTTCCCTTTCAATGGCAGATAACCATATGACAAAGTTCGAGTTATCGTAAAATTTATACCCCTTACATCTGTATCATAATTTATTAATACTTTGTTTAACCCTTATAGGATTCATTCGGTTGGAGCTCCTAAGTGCAACAAGGTATATGTACAATAAAGCTCCGTCTTATTCCGTTGCAAGTAAGCCGATTTCAGGAGACCCTGATAACCATACCTTTTTTAGACTGTAAGCACCATGAGTAGCACTAGAAAAGCGTAGAATATCATTGGCTAACTACCCGTCAGAAAGGTCGATTTTTCGTTTAAGATCACAAACCAGCGTCATTGATAACCTTTTCTGATATGATATGGCACACTCTGCCATACATCAGGGAAGTCTCAGAAGCGACTGACCGTTTCGCTGCGGGACTGGGCGATGAATTGGACACCAACCTACAGTTACCATGCGCAGCAGGGTAATGAAAACCATAGACCGAACAAAGCCCAAAAAGCAATCTGGGATAGTGTATCGCATCCCATACCTAAGCTGTCCTTATAATTACACAGCTCAAACTGAACGCGCGAACATGAAAGTAACCTGGTTTTGCGACTTGGCGACGAATTATCGCAAGTTGCTGCTCTGACCTAAGAAACGGGCCATGAGTTCAACTTTGCAGAAGTCAAGATATTCACCCACGTCGGCAACAAGACGAGGTGAGAATTGAATGAAGCCTGGTCCACGGGTAGGAACTCAATCAATCGATGTATCGATTTGGCGCCGACGTACAGACCCCTGTACAGTCGACTCCAGACGTATGTCACTTTTAGTTGATTGGTTTACACTCCCTATAATTGTCGCCTATCTGTTGCAGCAGTTATCGCTGACGATGAACTCCCATACGAGTCCGAAGACACAGAACAATAACCAAAGTGTTCCGGTGCTCGAACAGCCTTTCCTCTACTCATACAAACACCTGGAACGCGAACCTTAGCATTTACTCGTGTTAGGTAATTAGCCTAGTTCTCAGATATGGCAGCTGTGGAGGTGTGTGCATTTCCAGAAAGTATTACGCCTCTGCTCCTTTTTTCCAATACCGTGGTTGCGCTCTGAACTCTTACGATAAGTGGTCTGTTACTTAAATGAGCCGCCAAACAATGGTGCTAACGACCGCTGAGTTTTCCATAGATCAAAAAGCAATGGATAGTTTTTGAAAAAAGGAACTGACCAAGTATGAAACGCAAAGAAGGCGTTCCTCTAAGTTTTGGTGAAAAATGTCGCGCGATAACTATCACAAAACCTCTTCTCATATCCATAGATGAAAATGACTGGAGATTAGCGTGAACCCAGTGGTCGACTGAACGTTCGCTCTCATTTATCGTGCGGCAAACACCCGCCTTTGCCTTTGTTTCGCATAAAATAGACAGCATTGGCCCTTATACACACGTTATCGAGATAAGCACAGTCGAGGGTTGCTAATGCTCGAATCGTATGGTGAAGGGAAAATGATGTCAACTACTGATTTCCGAAAATAATGTAGACTCCTTGGGGAAGCACGGATGCGTATGTGCATTCTCAACTCAACATAAATCCAAGACCACTACAAAGCAGTTAATTTGAATGTCCAGCGCTATGCCGGCAAATTCAAGTGGTTGCGCTTTCGCGACATAAAATCGTTTTCAATTTGATAAAGAAACTCATAGTATATAACCATGCACTTGTATATTGTCAAACATGCTAATAACGTCTATATGCTAGCATTCTGCTAAGTAAAAATATCACAAAACTTTCAACAAAAACATTTGCCGATATGTGTTAGTAAAAACTAATTAAAATTTGTATTTTTCTTGTATTTTGCAAAAGTGGTAAGTAACCATTGATTGCATTTTTTTGAAACCACTGAAAACCATAGACGACATAGATGACATAATTCTGAAAGTTCAGTAAGTTGGTGAACTATGAAAAATTGTATATGTGCGCAAACAGTCTACTCAAGTAAATGTGAGCCTACTTTATTGCTTTATACAGCCTCTAATATCGAAATGGTACTACGCATATGTTTCAGAGTGCTGGACCGATTTTCACGGCATTGTCAGTCAACATATGTTTTACTAACCGTAATGGCAGAAGAGAGAAGATAACCAGTAAGCCTATAAGCTTATTTGATCCCAGCTTTACTGGATTCTATTGTATAGTCAAAAAATTGCTTCGTTTAGAAAGCATGCGCATCTTCACCGAGTTTTTTATTGTCCGGCAGTAGCTAAAAACCCTTTAAAAAACCCTTTTCTGCATGAAATAACTGGCCTAAAAGACAACTTCGAGAGCATATCTTTGCTATCAGTAAATTCGCTGCATTCTTCAACCATAGTACTCATTTCGAAATCGCGGTCACATAAGTGGCGGAATAAAAATGAGCATAAAAATGATCCATAAAAATGTCAGTCCCTGGCAGTCTTCGACTGTGAGTTCAAGATGCAGACCTTCGTTTGTTACAAAATATCTCAATTCTGATAGAGAGAAAGTAATTCCCAATGGGAATGTCCCTTCCTAAAACTGGTGACTGAGTGTCGAACGAGCATCCAATAAGTATACTGGTTCCGGATATTTTCATTCTAATTCATCACAAGTAAGTCTTCTTGTAAAATGTAACTAAAACGTCTCATAATCCTACCTTTGTTCGTCTTAACGCAGAAAACTGAATTTCGCCGTTCTTTTATTCGCGTTAACTAATGACATCTAGAACAAGGAAATCCTCCCGATAACTGTTCAGTCAAACAATAATTTACGCTGATGTATCCCTTGTATTGGATCGTTTTGATCATAAAGTTTCTACCCAAACGTTTGGCACTTTCGTAATAAAAGTATTCTTTTCCATTCCATTTCAATTCCTGGTAAGCAGACTCTTGCCTACGGGCTTTGCCTTGAGCATGTGCTGCAAATATTCGTGGACAAAGGAACATAAAAATATGTTGACTTCGAGTTCATTTTGTCACAATGTCAAACGAACACGGGGACCAGTTGTTAAAGATCGAGCAATTTCTTGTTGGATAAGCTGTTAAAAAGTATTAAAAATAGTTGAGCACCTCCTAGGTGTAAAGTTAAAATAGGTAGTATTTTTATTTTCAAAAGAACTGGAGAAAATATCACCACTTTCTAAATGTGTATGTATAATGGACGTCAATAAATGTGGAGACTGTGAAATAATTATTAGTAACATATTTGCTGTCACGAGCTAGTGGTCAGGAACTGAGACACACTAGGTCAGAACCCCACGTCAAATTCGTTGGCACCATAGACGCAACCGAAGTAGAGTCCCATCTGGGCAGCAGTTTATATTTGCAGCTTATTTTTGCACCTCAGCAATCCTATTCACAAAAGGCTTTTCGGTCAAAAAATGCAGTCCCTTCACAGCTTTGGCTAAAGCAAGTACAAGAATAAAAGTGGAAACTAACTGTCATCTGCAGATATTTGGTTTACAGTTGACAGGAATTGTAAAATAAAGCTCTTGTCACTAACCTATTGACTTTATCGGTATCCTGTAGATCAGAAACCGGTGCAGCCACCTTTGAGGGCTGGTCATTTCCCTGGACATCGGTACAGAGCACCGAATCTGCCCGGGCGTCTTTGCTAGCTGTGGTGGGCGAGAATGCCTCCTCCTCAACCTCGCAGTAGGGAAGCTTCTGGTACGCAAAGCCATCCACAACATTTGCGGATTCTATAGTACCAGAATCTAAAAATGCAATCAAATTTTAAGAAATAAATAGAAAGCAGTAGTGTCTATTCAAATGAAGATTAACTCATACTCTAGGGAAGCGAATGGAAATGGCGAAAATAATCACTTTCTTCATATTAAATAATCAGTGCCACCAGCATTTACCCCTCCAGTCAAGCGATTCTAAAGTCAATTTACTCGTTCGGTTTGAAATTCCGTTAAGTCAACCACACTCACAGCGTAAATATCATCCTTTAGCGGTTATTTGACAACAGTTTTGTTTGATTCTCCACAAAATTATTGTGCCGTTGTGGTCTAATACTTTGATTTTATGATCTCAAACTTAATTTCGCTTCAACATGATCTTGGCTAAGGTCTGTGTTGTCTGACAAGCTCCGAAACTTGTGTGCTGTGCACGGGAAAAATGGGACTCAGGCGGTCAGATCCTTTATACAACAGCTCGACCATCGATTCCCACAATTTCTACCGTATGCTCCACAGCGTGGTGGTGCAGGAACGGCGACTTATGCGTGGATTAGTCTTAGGTGGTAGAAGCCTTGCATTTTATCTACTACACCCTTTCTTCCCTCATCCGCCCAGTCCTGGTGTCAAGACAGAGTTAAGAATACCGAAGGCGGGACCGGAGACAAGTGTTTGGCGCAGCCGGAGCCGGCCACGCTGACTCAGGTCCCACGGCGTGGATGTGCCTGGAAGGACACGGGTGGCTGGTGCGTGAGTCTGTACCTATGCATGTCACCAATGCCCAATGGAAACAGCTGCACGAATCCCAGCTCACATAGATGGGCACAGCCTACACTTGACCAGGATTTTAATGCAGCAAGAAGATAAGTGGAGTAGCTCGGGTCCCAGCCTACATAGCTTGGGCCTCCATGCCACACACGCCACCACACTCCATCTAGACACAGCCTACACTTGACCAGGAATACTTCATACGTCCATCCAAGTGCGCACCTTCAATGTTCATCTTACAAATTTACCTATTATACGGAGTTATTACATAGAATAAACGTTGCAATTTTCAAATGTATCTGTTCCTTAAGTATACTCACATATCGGAGTTCGAAATGTGAAATATCACCAAGCTTGACTTGTATAGCCGCCTAAACGACACACGCGAAAAGGAACCGACCACAATGTATGTGGCTTTACGCCAACTTCCAGGGAAATTAGGTTTTGGAGAACCGTGAGTGTTAGGGTTAGATTTAAGGTTGCGATTGAGATCAAATTTGGAGGTGGAGTCAAGATAATGTTAAAGGTTAAGGTTGGGATGGGTACTTACTGTACATCGTACGTTCAGGATAGGGTGAGGGTTAAGATTAGGGTCCAAGTCTACTCTTAAGTTCGGGTTTATCTTAAGACCAAGAACTGAGAGTGTTTACCCTTCCTGAAATTGATCGCGAGCCACCTTTTTTAAGTGAGTGGGAATTTCATACCCCTATGTCCTGTGTAGGCAGCCACACAAGTCATCCTTATCCAATCTTTTCAGCAAGCGTGGTGTTCCAATGCTTTTCACCATCATCAGGTAAATTACCCTGTGCATTTTTGTCCCCCATTTGCACCTCCTATCTATCTGCCCGTATCAGCATCCCTGTTCACTGGGGAGTGTGAGCAGACTGCTTTGAACACTTTGTTTATATAGAAACAGTGACTCTCTTGGAGCCCGTAGTTATTATTTTTATAGACCAGAGGAGACATTGACGCGACCAATACTTGCCTTTCCGTCATGAGACAGACTTCACCACCACAACCACCACCACCACCACGGCCACCATCACCATCAGAGAGCCATGAGCGAACCTCGGTGTCTGATTGTGCCCCCTTCGTGTTGGTGACTTCCCACTCCCTCATGACAGTTGCCTTCACGGGTCACCTGTCTCGCCAGGCCTTCTCTTCCTCCTCTTTCTCCTGTTTATGTGGCCGTACAAGCTGTGCATACCGAAAGATCTTTATTCCCGTTCGTCAACCAAATGCCAAACAATAGCGTTCTAACATGGCACCTAGACAGGAATGCAAACTTATTCTCAACTACAGAAATTTGTTTTGCAACCGCCTGTCTTATTATTATGTTTAATTTTTCTCCCGGATGGATAAGAAAAATAAACGGCCAAGTACCAGGAAAAAGGAAACACAGAGGTTGATCGTTGGCTGTAGTAGTATTCACCACTATGCGACTTTGTACTAAAAATCCTATCATCAGTCATGAATAAACTTCTGAGAAAGGCCTTCAACAAATTAACGCACGAAACTCGGTAAAAATAAGTTTAACCGAACAGGATAATAGGAGCCGCCCCCGATACAGGGGTTTTAGCGTTAAATTCCACGAAAAATAGGGTTAAGTTTATGGTTCCGGTATAGTAAAGATCAAAGTTAGCGTTTAGAAGAAACGGCTGCCATCACTGGACAACAACTTTATTCGCCTGACCTCTTGGATTCCGTCGCAGAAAGGGGTAATTCATACAGAGGCAGTTGCATTATTTATAGGGTACAGCCGCTATGCTACAGTTTACTTATGATAACTAACAGCTCCCCCCTTATCGAAGATAGGTGCCCGTTTGTGTGCTAATTGCTTGATGACCG